GGCGGTTCTGGCTTTCATGGTTCTGGCCGAAATGAAGCAGCACCAGCACTGGAAACATACGAAATGGCGGGGTTGCAAGTTGCGCGAGCTGTATACCTGCAGTGACCTGCAGCCCTGCTTCCGTGCAGCTGCTACTTGCAGTTGACATACGTACCTCGTGAGGGTCGAGTTGACGGCAATTCGTCCGGACAGTCTGCAGTTCTCGTCGTTTTCATGTAGGCATGTTCGAGACTCACTTATACGCATAAAGGCGAGGTGGTAGGTCATTTCCATCCCATAGGGACTGTAGGGAAAAGATAAACTTGCTGGCTGATATGCGATGGTTTTGCATTACGGGGCGAGGTCTTGCTGAAAGAGGCTTCCAAGTTCAAAGCTCCGGAGTATTGCCGAGGGTTCGTAAAGATCGCCCTCATTTTCAAGAAGGCAAGCAGCTCTTCGACGAGTGAGCGCAATCGCCTGTGAAAATGCACATGCAACGGAAGGCGAGCACGATTGCCACGATCTAGGATACGTGACTCGAAGTGCTTCTAAGAGTTTTGCTCACTCATTGCCTGAATGCACCCTTTGCGGACGAGGCCTAGCCGTCCATGTCGTATAGCCAATTGCCTGCTGAGGAGGTTTAGATGAGGATGTGCTCAGGCAGAAGTGGCCGTCTGATTGATTCTGATCCATTATGATCCATTCCTGAAAGCGCAGCTGCCAGTGGCGTCCCGGTCCAATGAGCGAACACGGTAGCGTTCGGGCGAACCAGCTCATGGCTGCCAACGAGGTGGCGTGAGAGGAAGAGACAGGGGTTCGGTGAACTGCTTCAGTGCCTGCTCGCTTTCCCGACAACATGTGCAGCAAGATGCTGTTTAGAAGGACTTCGGACTTCGTTCGTCTCTCGATTCGACCAGTTAGATCTGAACTGTCGTGGCTTCTTCGGGACCCTTGACCGCAACTCAATGTCTGTGAGCCAGACTGGTGGTGGCCTTTGCGGGGCGTGCTGCAAGGTGGAGGCCCGCGGCCTGGTGATGCCATGGACTTTCCGGAAACAGTCAGATGAAGTGTCGATGCCATTCGGGGGCCGACAGGGGTGGAAGAGAGAGAGGTTGACGGCGTCATTCTGCCTATTTATCCCAAGAGTCAAGGTGCAGCGCTCTGCTAGAGTAGACGTGTCTCACACAGAATCGCCTTGCGAGCACGAGATAAACCGGGCATGCCTGAACCCCGGAAAAGAAAAGAAAACGCTGCTTGCCTTGCAAGCGCTCAAAGAGCACTGCGAGGCAGCGCCTCAAACTCGCACAGCCCCGAGCCTCGTACCGAAAGCCTGGTGACAGATCAGCGATGAGCAGAAAGCGCTTCTGGATGCCAAGTACAACAAGGCAGAGGCAAGTTTGAAGAAGGCCTTCCAGCAGGGTCCTGGCTTAGCCTGGCTTTCAACTTTGGACATGTGATTTCCACGATGTTCCATTTAGAAATTAGCAAAGGCGATCTATGAGGCGCTGTGTGACTAAGAGAGACGGCAGTCTTTCATTTAGCGTTCGGACCGGCACCGCTTGATTGAACACGAAAGTCTCATTTCTCTCGGCAGTTGCATGAGACTTGCATCAAGCTGTCACTAGCTGACTAAGTAAGCATCAGCACATGCTTAAAGAATGCTTCAGGCGTCCAGCAAGATTGCTGGCCTCATGCACAGAAAGCAAATGGCTTGGCTTGCTACAGTCTTGGGCGGTTGATGGGGGTTGCCTGCAACAACCCGTGTAGAAGACTTTCTCCTGGCCGATATCGAGCTCGCTGTGCGGATCTAGTTTGGTTTGGAGCTCAGATTTCCTGCGGTCACCCCGCATGTACCAGCCCCGAAAGTTAAAGTTGAAAAAGACGTGCTACGTCTCAGGGCCAGGCCCATCACGATGCCCATGTCGGGCGTTCGGGAAACCTGGGCAGGGGCAGGGCTGCCCATGATGTTCGCTTGCAAACGCACCTGAGCCGGCTAACAGAGGATTCCGCAAGCATTCTGAAAGATAACACCTGGCAGGTGATTTCATACACCAACCAGAATCAGCTGCTCGGCCGGATGAAGATAAAGGGTTGGATACTTAGCCATGTGCTACAATCTAGAGTCGTGGGTTTGCGGTCTTCGGGCTTTCGGAATGAAGATTTCAAATTTTGGGCAGTGATGTGAGCTTGTGCAACTGTGCGTTTTCCAGAAATTTCGGCCAGCAATTGTAGATTCAGTCCTCAACACTGCCTGTTTCGCAGGTTCTGCCAGTAGGATGTTTTTGGGAGGTGCAGCCACTCAGTCATTTGCACCATTGCACTTTCGCCTTCGTTTCAGATCTCATGATTCCTGCTTGAGAAGGCCCAGTATCTTGTGGCCCCTGAATGAGCTGATCAGTATCTCTGGAGCTACAGCCAAACCTTCGTAAGGCGAATCTGTTGTACGTAGGGCTGTACGTAGCAAGACTCCTTCGCTGAACAAATTCTTGCTACGCACCCTCCCCTGACCAGTTTACGTGGAATCATGGGAGTGTCAGGCTTCGGTTTTGGCTCAAATTTTGCGCTATTTCATCCCAATTTTGGAATATCTGCCCGCAGCCGAGCTGGCTGCCCCCAGACTCCGATTGGGCACGGCACGTAAAAGGCTCGCTTAGGCTGATCTCCTCATTAGCCCGAAAAACATCTGGGATTCCGGCACCCCGAGCATGAAGGCCAGCTTTTCCCCGAGTCTCCCGTACTGCTTTTGGCAGTGGTATGTTTCAAGGATCTTTACCGGGAAGCTGCTGCTGGCGATGAGCATCTGAGAGAGCACATGCTGCGCTTGACTGTGGTAGGGTTGGGCTACCATCTGCAAACTTAAACATGCCCGCATTGGATTCACGACTCGCTTTTTGGGAACTGAAGGTTTTTTGCTCAACGCAAATTCAAGGAGTATGTGTCCTCCAAGGTCTAAGCTTCTGGATTCTCTGCCCCTCTCAGGCACGGCAACGCTGATGGTCATCTTCGGCCTCCCGCCCCTCGGCTATGTCCCGAGTGAATCCATCCCGAACTGTTGCAGGCCTCCGTCAGGCCTGGTGGTAACAGCGACAGCATGCGACAGCGCATCTGCGTACTCGCACCTATCGCACTTGGCGGGATTCCGATGTTGGGGAGGTTCCCAGGCTCTGTCAGGCTCCTGCTCGTGGGTGGCAGCGGGCTAGGGTTTACGTGCACACTGACAGTCACTGACAAGCTTTCCAACCACAACGACGGGCTTTAGTCTGACACTGACAAGGGTTTAGGCTCAACCCTAGCAGTGTGAGCTCGTGAGTTGAGAGCTTTGAGAACCTAATCGATCATACACACGGCTAGGATGTAACTCTGCTTTATTCAGTGTGCTTCTGGAAGCGGGAATCACCATTTTGCCGTTTTCACAGCCCAGATCCTCCAAAATTTTGATTCCCCCACGTATACGCAGGGCAACGTGCGGGAATCACCATTTTCACTTTCAAGCCTCAAATCTTCCAAAATGGTGATTCCCAAGCATGTTTGCCTCCAGTGAGCGGGGGCGACGGCGCGTTTCGCAGCCCAAATCCTCCAAAATAGTGATTGCTCCGCGTGTGGGGGAACGGGGCAATGCGCGGGAATCCTAATTTTCACAGGTTTATGGCTCAAGTCTTCAAAAAGACATAGCCGTAGCCCCCCACAGCGCGGCAGAGGGGGAGGACCCGCACTATTTTCACAGCTGAAATCTCCAAAATAATGATTCCCCCACGTGTATAGTAGGAGGGGGGGGGAGCGCGCGGGAATCAACATTTTTTTGCCATTTTCAACCCCTGAATCTTGGAAAATAGTCATTCCCCCGCGTGTGGCGGAAGGATGTGGGAGGGACGCGCGGGAATCGCGATTTTGCCATTTTCAGAGCGTAAACCTGCAGGTTTTTTGTCTGGAACTCACTGATGCAGATATGTGCTGCTGATGTGCTGCTGCTGCTGCTGCTGCTGCTGCTGCTGCTGCTTGTTGCTGCTGCTCAGGCCTTGTCTTGGGGAGGTTTTCCTGCCTTGTCGTGGTGAGGTTTTCATGCCTTGTCGTGGTGAGGTTTTCATGCGCTGTTGTGGTGAGGTTTTCATGCGCTGTCGTGGTAAAGTTGTTTTGCTGTCGTTGTGCAATATTTTAATATTTCTTGTTATGGTCCAAGTTATGGTGTAGATTCTTTTTTACTGTCGTGGTGACAACGCGCTCTAGAATGTCTAAAAGATTAACTCGAAAGTGCACGGGAGTCGTGCCCAACGGTCGAGAATTCACGCAATGAATGACGCGGTGTTCTCAGTGTTCTCAGGCATGCCCCATCTGCTCTTAATCGTACCGAGCCCTGGGAGCCCGAAGCAAAAGGGAAAACGTTCATTGTCTCTTTGAGGCTGTTCTCTTCGAATTTGAAGCACATGGTGTCTTGGCAAAGACTTCGGTTCAGTGACCAGAGTGCGCGAAACCCGACCCTAATCTACTCGGACACCGAGAGATTGCCCGTCCACCCGAAGCACGTTGAGCAGGAGGCCAGTGTGTTCATCAGTCGTTGGGCTGCATCGTTGCCCTGGATGTCCAAGGTTTTCGGACATCACATATGCGAGCTCTCTGCCACGGGTTTCTACTTGAACAAAGGTACAGAGGACCTTTCACGATTCAGGTTTGCAGCACATGGAATTGAGCCAACTTCACAGCAGGCAAGTGGAAACAGCGACGTTCTCTTGTGAATTACGAGTTGAAGATCTAGAGTCCGTCTTTTGATCTTGAAGCGCTGCGTGGGACAGGAAGCGTTTCGGTCCAGGGTTGGGAAACCAGGTTCGACAGGTTCTCGTCGATTTCTGCCTGTTTTATGCTGCTGGCCTCACCACCGAGCTTCTGCATGGAAGCTTCTCATCGAGTTCGAGGGCTAACCTTTTGAGAGAAACGCCCCGAGCCTGAACAGCCAACTCTTGCCAGATTGAAGCATCCGCGTACCCGACAGTACGCAGCTGCATGTGAAGCCAAGTGAGCCGGCCTTTATGCAAGCGTTCGATGCCTCAGTGAGAAGGACGATAACTGGGATCCCAGTCAGTTTTTGCAAAACACAGGAGGAGCCAGAGCTCACGAAAGTCGAGTCTTTCGCGGACCTTACGCTCGACGACTACACCACCCCAGGGAGGTCGGGCTCACAGGGGCAAGGCACATCGCTTGCCTTGGCTGGTTCTGCATGAAGTGAACCCAGATCCGAAGCCCCAAACCTTGTCGTGGAAGGGGTATTGAGGATTACCGAGGGCTGTTGGCTGCAGTGACGTAGAATCATGATACGTGAAGTAAATGATGCAGTGTTTTGTCCTGTGCTGAGTACTGCTTGGTGGTGATTGAGACGTGAGATGACATGAGGCACGGGTCAAGGCAGCAAATGTTCAAAACATTTGATTGGTGAATGCTGGATGGGCGACCTGCCACGCTGGGTCAAGCATGAGGCTCATCGACTGCGGCTTCATCCCGCGTTCCTACCAGGCTGGGCTGCATGCAGGGTTCGTAACGTAGTCGCCAGGCTTGCAAGGCATGCGAATCTGAAGTTTCTGGTGTGACAGTCTTGCTACCCAGTAGCCTGAATGATAGATCTGTCCCGTTGGGAGCATGTAGAATGGTTGTAATTCCTTTGCAGTGAGTTTTTAGCGACGCTTACGCAGTGGGTCTACATCCAATATCGCACGCCATGTGTGATTCATTCCAGAAACGGCCTTTGTCATCGCTTCTCTGTGGGGTCCGAAGCAGTTTGTCTTTTTTCCTTCTGTGTTGGAAGGTTGTAGGTGTAGCCTTCCTGTTGCTGGCGCTTGCTTTGGCTTTGAGGTGGGTCCTTCGATATCACAGGTTGATTTTCTGCAAGGGCTTGCAGACAAGCTCTCAATCGCCTCCCATCTCAGGGCTTCTGGCCCAACGTGGTGCAGTTCTGCTTCTTCAGTGTCTTAACGAACACCGGGACAACGGTGCAGCTGACGCTCCAGGGTCTCAGCGGGACATTCATCGCACCTGGGATGAATGGGGCACAGTGGTAGGCTCATGCCACAGGCCTGCTTGGCTTGGGTCTAACAGTTTACCAGTGCATCCGAGAGATGGGCTCACATCATGCTTGTCTTGGTACGTCCGGTACACCGGCTTGCTGCCCTGATAACTTGCCCAGTTTCGAATCTCTTGCATCCGGCAAGCAGCAATCTCGTGCTGAGGCAACGATCAACGTGTTCCTCCTCTACGAGCTGTATCCTCACGGAGGGGCCATGACGGTGCCATGGATGAATTTCGTTTCGAAGGTAAGGAGGGAGACCGTTGGGCAAGTCGCAGTGCCGAGCAGTCGCCACTTGCGACCGAGAGGGCCAGCGCAGAAGATGCTAAGTTGGAGTTCAGTGTCATACTCGACAGTTTACTACTCCTGTTTCGGTTCCTGGCCTGAAGCCTTCAGCCAGCAGACGTGACCAACAGCCGCACCTGCCACATTTCAGGAGTGTGCGGGGGATCGGCTCGACAGTGGGCTGTGCGCCAAGGGCGAGATGATGTACCAGGACACCACGGCTTCACGATGCATGACCGAAGCTTTTGTGCAAAGGCTGCAGGTCTGCCCCACGTGCGGATGAGAATCGTTCACGGGTCTTGATGGATGATAACGCCAGCTAACCTGCGGTTATGCCGCTGACCACTTCGGAATTCACTACCCTGCCACTCCCCAAGCAAAAGTGTTGGTAACGTGATGTATGATGAATATCCTGCTCCCCTTTGTCTGCCTTGGATGCCCAGAATTGGGCAGGATTGTCGAGGCAGTTCCATCATTCTCATCCTTGCAACTGTTTGAGTAGTTGGAGCGGTGATACACCCTCAGTTTTCTGTGTGGTAGGATCCAAACTTCATACCGGCCGTGGCATGGGTGGACGCCATCGGCTTCGCTTTGCTGTGGCTGATCAGCGCCTTGACTCCGGGTTCAGACGGGGTCTGCAGATAGGCAGATTCACCTTCGAGGCCATTCCTCTGAAGCAAAATTCCTGTGTAGATGTAAATGATGTGCAATGCACATGTCAATGTCTAAAGACAAAGCCCCTCCCTCTCTCTCTCTCTCTCTCTCTCTCTCTCTTTCTCGCTCGGTTTGACAAGATCAACCAAGCCCAGACCGAGCCTAATGTGGGAAAGTGGTAAAGGAGCTGAGCCTCGCAATTGCGATGGAAACAGTTGTGGAACAGCACCACCAAACACGACTCGCAGGTACTGCGCCCAAGAACATGGTGATGTTCTGCCTCTCCTACCACTGGCTGTTCATGTGCACTTTCATGGACCCCCTGCTGCAGACCTGTTTCCAGCATTGGTTTCTGCAGGTTCTTCGAACAGGGTCGCTTGATGCAGGCTTGCTTTGCAAGGTCTTGGGCCTTGAGCTAGGCAACCTCGTGTGCCTAGGCGTGGACATAGGCGATGAAATGCGCATCCAAGCTTTCTCCGTACATTATGCAGGCTTCAAAATGTCATTATTGTACCAGTTTTTGTGTTTCTTGATGTTAGAGCGTCCTCACCTAGACTGCGACGTCACGAGAACGAATGTGGGGCTTTCAGGTTCGCGTTCGGTTTTGGAAACGTGGCTGTAAATAAGCTCGATAGCTTGTCATCGGGTGGGTTCCTGGGTTTTCCTGAGTGCAAGCCTGGGTTGCGCAGTGTAAGGGTTCTGGTTGTGATGCAGTGCCGGTACAAGGGTTCCATAGCCAAGCCACCCCTCTCGCACATTTCCTTGCAGCTTTCCTCGAGTCGTAGCCTAGGGCTGGTGCTTGCGTGTCAAAGGCCGAAAATCTTTCAAAACTCCCACTCTCCCTGCGGTATGCGCTGGGCTACCCAGGATCCATCTGCGGGAACCGTCACTGGAAAGATTCCAATGGGCTTCATGGACCGACTTTGCTTTTTCTCGATCTGTGCCTGGAGGTCAGATTCCTCACAGTGTTTCTTTTCGCTTGATGTCCAAGTTGGTCGGGCAAGTTCAGATCATCCAAGCACAGATGCTCTGAATTCATGATTTCCCGGCTGTCACCACACGGTAGGTCGGATGCAGATGCACGGCTCGTTTTGCTTGTGCGTTCCAGAATTCTGGTTGAAGGGCGTCGGCGTGTCTGCCACACTGACAATGTCCAATGTGCGACTGGCAGCCTGCTGTTGTCGGATGTAGGTGTGTCTTCCGATGTTTTAGATGTCTTGACCCGTTCAGGATCTCTACTGGGACTCCCAGACGAGCCAGCTACTGCATTCGAGAACATGTGGTGTCCCAGTAGGTTCTTTTTTCAGGCTTTAAGCTTTATCGTCATGCAAGAAACGCACCTAGTTGGTTCGTGCCTTCATTGGGTTGAGAGGCTTGCTATCGGTATGTTAGCTGCGATGTCAAGCGAGCCGCCCAACGATGGTGCCACTCAGCCTCGAAGATTGCGTTGCATGAGAGCTCCTTTGTTGCCCCGGCCAAGTCTCCAACTTGCCTGACTGCTAGACCTGCAAAATTCAGGCGGGTCTGAGCATGTTCGTGGTTTCCACAGCGAGGGATCGAGGCCTCCACTTGCAGAGCGGTAACCAGTTGAGCTGCTTCTTAAAAGGGTAAATTTTAGAATCATCAGGAAAGATTTATGATTTGATATAAAACAGGCAACGAAGGGGGTGGCTCCCTTGATTGCAGAGCTTTTGTGGCAAGACAAGCAATGAAAGGAAGGAATGGCTTTGCGGTTTTGGCGCAAAAGAGGCAATGAAGGGAAGGAGTCTCTCCCTTCGTTGCGCGGGTTTGAGGAGCCATAGCAGAATGGCTCCCATCATTCAATATAGGCAATGAAGGCAAGGATTGGCTCACGTCATTGCACGGATTTGGGGCGTCCCTTGTTTCGTGGCTTTGGGGCAAAACTTGAAAACGGCTAACACGGCACGGCAGGCAAGGAGTGGCTCCCTTCGTTCCATGGTTTTGGGTCAGAACAGGCAGTGAAGAGAAGAGGCAATGCAGGGAAAGAGTGGTTCCCTTGATTGAGCAGTTGGGGCAAAACAGGCAATGAAGGGCAGGAGTGGCATCCTTTGTTGCATGATGTTGCTTGAATTCGGGGCAAAACAGGCAGTGTAGGCAAGCACTCTCTTCATTGCGTGGTTTCGGGGCCAAAGCAGGCAGTGATTGGACTAGTGGCTCCCTTCATTGCGGACTCCTGGGGCAAAACAGGGAATGAAGGGAAGGAGTGGTAGACCAGAGCACTGTGAGAACCTCAAGCGCGGAAGATTGTGGAAGCTATGATCCACTCCTCTTGAGGGCCTTGGCCATGAAACCCTCATGCCGAACATAATCTCAAATGCTCTCAGCTGAACCGAAGCTGCGTGAAGACCCGAAGACAAGGACCATCATCAACCTCACCTCCGTCCTTGGAGGGATTCTGGCCATCTTGGCCACGCTCATTCCGAGGTCACTTGGCCAGGCTTTCTGGTACTTAGCCGAAACTCGATGTAGGTTGTTAGCAGGTTCAACAGGTTCTGAGAAGTGGGGCCAAAGGTACTCGTGGAGTTCTTTGCCGAAGTATATATATAACATCCCCCCGCCCCGACGGGGCGAGTTGCTCTTTCAAGGCCTCTCTTGAACACCAGACAGCTGACGGAGAACTGCACAATTGCTGCAGAGGGCCTCGAGGTCCTCGACGGTCGGGTGTCAGCTTCACGGGTTTGCTGTCTGCGGGCCCGCATTTTTGACCGGTAGATCTCGGCAAGATAGGCTGCAAGGGCCCACTGCGTTTTACCCTTTCGCGTCCACACTGGCCGTTCGCAATGAAGACGCTGCACGCAGCAGGCGCTTTGCTTTACTACTAGTTCAGCGCTGACGCAGGAAGCCTGGACGGAAGCACTTGACTACTTCTTTGGCAATGCCATGACATCCAAGAAGTTCCAGGCCCGGGGTGGGTGCAGCTGGTTAAGAATTAAGATCCTGGCATGATTCGGAGGATGGTAAAGAAGCAAGGATGTTGGCAGTGTCGGCTTCCTGTCCGAAGATGAAGCCGGCGCTATGCATGACATGTCGTACAAATGCGTCGGTCTGTACATCTGTACCGAGCTATCGGCCTACCTGCCTACCTACCTACCTACCTACCTACCTACCTACCTACCTTTCTGTCTGTCCGTTTGCGTGTCTGTCTGTCTTTGCGTGTGCGTGTCCGTTCATCTATGTATCTATCTATTTATCCACCCATCCATCCATTTTCTATCTAGCGATCTACCTATCGATATATGTATCGTATCTATCTATCGATCTATCTGTCTATCTATCTATCTGTCTATCTATCTATCTATCTATCTATCAGTCTCTCTACAGATGTATCATCTAAGTATGTACATATGATCTGATATGATATAGTACAACATAACGACAAAACAACACAATGCATTATGATAGACTGTAAGATAAGGGAATATGAACAACCTTAAGCATATAAGATAACATAGTGTAAGGTAAGATAATGTAAGAGAACGTAAGGTACAAGTGGTATAATATAATACGAAATAGTATGCCACAATATGAGAAAAGATAAGATAATGTAAGAAACTGTGGGATAATATGAGCTACTATGAGGCAACATAAGATAAAGTGACATTATCTACGACCGTGGAAGATAATTTAGGATAATACAAAATAGTATAAGACAATACGACATTATATATGACATCATAAGATGATATGTTATACTGTCTCATGTAAGTAGAAGATCAAACAAGATAGTCTTGTATTTGTAAGGGCTGCGCCCCGTGCGGGTAGCGCGGGCAGTCCACCCTCGTGCACGTTTGACTCGGGTTGCACGCGCTACGGTGGGGGGGGAGGGGTGGGCGAGGGAGGGCGGGGGCCAGAGGAGTTGGGGGCGGTTTGCGCGGTGTGTTGGGTTTACTCCAGTGTGTATATGTGTTTGTATACACATTTGTGTGTGTGTATACACATGCACGCACATACACATAATCAGAATGTGTATATTCATATAATTTCATATAGATATGGATATGCATACCTATATACAGAAATACATGTATATATAGAGTGTGTTTTGTGTAGATGTGTGGCAGTATATTCCAGTACACACATATATATATACACGCACACACACTCTTTCTCTTTCTCTCTCTCTCTCTCTCTCTCTCTCTCTCTTATGTTTGTACAAATACAGATGTGTGTGTATATATATATAAACATATATCTACATATCTACATGTCGATCGATCTATCTATGTATCTATCTATGTATCTATCTATGTATCTATCTATGTATCTATCTATGTATCTAGCTATGTATCTATCTATTGATCTCCCTACCTATTTATCTGCTTTTCTATCTATCTATCTATCTATCTATCTACCCATCTATCTATCTATCTATCTATCTATCTATCTCACACATATGTATCCATGCATATGCCTGTATACACACGTATGTATGTATACACACATTTGTATACACATGTGTGTATGCACGTAACCATATATGTACATCGTATGGCATACATACCTTACCTTGAGCTTGTCATATATATATATATGTATATACATATATGTATGTGTATATATATATATATATGTGTGTGTATACGTATACGTATACGTATACGTATACGTATACGTATACGTATACGT